GGGAACTGAGGCTCAAAATGTGTACATAATTTTCCCAAGGACTCACAACCAATATTCTTTGGGGCCTTCCCAGTCCGTCTACCTGGGAAGCCAGCAGGCTTTCTATTTGGCCCCCTTAGGAAACAGAAGAAACATAGGGACCAGTGTCCTGCTGAGTATCCCTGTTCTAGCTCTCCCTTCCTGTTGGACTCACCCTCGGTCAGCTTAGTTGAGGCAGCCCTGGATGTCTTTCCTTTCAAGTCTCATCTTTACTCAAACACATCCACTGGTTCTCCACTGCTCCCAAGAAAGCTCTGTCGATGTCTCCTAAATCTACGTTTTTCTCATAAAATCATCTACAAGAAATGTTGCACCTTGAGCACGTTCTTACCATAATTCACAGCTCCTGATCCCTATGTATCGTCACTATGAACCATAGAGTGATGTGCTTAGGTTACCTTCAACACAACAAATTTCGTAAGGGAAAGTAGAGAATTATTGTGCTGATGAAATCAGATACAACATTAACACCAGGGTTGGCCAAGGACGAGTACTGGGTGAGTGTTAGTTTCATCTCTCCCTTCTCAGAAGAGGCATCTGAGCGGAGTCTGGAAGGCGGAGTAAGAGTAAGCCAGACAGATGAGATGGGGACTGCATTCTAGGTAGAGAGAAAATCACGCACCCAAGGGCGGAGGTGTGGGAGAACGTGGCCTGCTTACAGAGCTGCCGAGAGTTAGCTGAGGCTGGGCTCTGTGGAAGGGGCTGGGGAGGTGAGCAGCCAACAGATACCAGAGACTAGGGATGCTAGAGGAGGGAGGCTGGACTTGCCCAGGGACAGCAGAAACCTGCTGGAGGGTTGTAGGCAGAGGGAATGAGATGCTACCATTTGCATTTTAGAAATTCCATTGTGATGGCCAGGTGGAGAATGGACTGGCAAGGCTGGCGCCAGCACAGAGAGACCAGTGGCAGGGCTCCTCAGGTCCTAAGTAGGCCCTCAGACAAATACCAGGTAGTCATGCTGTTATTGCTACCAGGATTTCTTTTCTCCAGCTTAGTGGTCATGTGGACCCATTTGGGCCCTGGAGTTTTGAAGAAAAGATTACAACTGGTCTGGTTTAGAAACCAATATGAGGACATTTTCTTGACTGACATTTTCAGTTTCCATGGGTCAGGAATGCGGAAGCGGTTTACCTGGGTGTTTCTGGCTCAGAGCCTTCTCACGAAGTTGCTGTAAGCTGTCACCCAGGGCTGCGGTCATCCAAGCTCACTTATGTGGTTTGGGCTGGCCTCAGTAACTCTTGGCTGTTGCCTAGATTCTTCATGAGTGTCTTCATGTCATGGCAGCTGGATCCTCCCAGAGTGAGTGATTCGAGAGAGTATAACCACCACAGAAGCCATAGTCTTTTTAGAGCCTAATCTCTAGGGTGATAACCTACCACTTCTAGAGTATATTTTTTGTTAGAGCAAGTCTCTATGTGCAGCCCACACTGAAGGAGAGGGGAGTTCAGCTCCACCTCTTAAAGGGAGGAGAGGAACAAAGAATTCGTGGATGTATTTTTTAAAGCACCATAAGGACCCTATTTAATCTTCAAGAGATGATATGACACAGTGGTTAAAAGCATAAATTTGAGATTCATGAAGGCCTAGGTTTAATCTTGGCTTCCACAGTTGCTGCTTAGGCAGGTTTACACAAGCCATTTAACCTTTGTGTATCTCAATTTTCTAATCTATGAAATAGGGGTAAGAATAGTAGATGTTTCACTGGGTTGCTGTGAAAATTAAATAAGATCATATATATAAAGTGCTTGGCACAGAATAAATACTGAATAAACATTATTTAATTGCTACCGTAACTGGATAATATTATTGTCCTCCTTAGAGGTTACAGATGTCTCCCCCGACATAGAGGTTAAAACCACAGAGTCAGAGTGCATGGGTGGGGACTCAGGCTCTGCAGGTCGTTAGCTGGGAGAACTAGGGCAAGTCACTTAATGTCTCTTACCCTTCGTTTTCTGTGGAAAAAAAAAAAAAAAGATAATAATAGCTAGTGCCTGGCCACCAAATAGGTGTTCAATAAATATTTTATGAATAAGGACATAGTGGATGACAGAGGGATATAATGACAAAGGTGTGTGTGTGTGTGTGTGTGTGTGTGTGTGTGTGTGTGTGTGTTAGGACACTACACAAGCACATTTGACTTCAAACACCTTCTATTAACTGGGGAGCCTGGTATAGCTGTTCTTGTTCCACCTGAATGTGCCCTTGAGCAACATCCTCCATGAACTTCCAGGTTTATCATCCCTTATAGGTTGTTCTTGGTCTTGATCGTTCAGCTTCTGTTCCGCCCTGACTTTGTTCAAGTATACTTCTTTCATCCTCCCTGCTCCCTCCACCAAGAATATGTTTAATTGGCTTTGCACAAATCTGGGGATTTGGTGACAGGAAGGGGGGGTCCCATGTCACACCACCTTGGAGCTGCTCCATTACCTTAAATTGATTTTGCAAATGAAAGCTAAAAGCTAAGCAAAGGCAACCCATCCATTTTGCCTAAAGATGATTATAATGCTCTTTTACAGCCTCTTAAATGACAAAGCAGTTTGTTACCTGCCTGCATCAACATTTGCTTATATTAGCACCCAAGATGCTCGATTTTTATTAGCCCCACATTATCATTTTATGAAGATGCAGGGGCTCAGTAAAATTAGTGTGCAAATAGAATGCCCATTTTGCATTTTCCTGTGGTCAGCAGAAATGTTGAAGGAAATTGAGTTGATACTGGGTTAGAGGAGACATCCATAAAGGTAGCCTCCACTGAGGGCCCCAGTAATCCCATTTATCATTTCTGGACTGCCGAGATAGATGGGGTCAATGTTAGACGGTATTTTTTAAAAGGGTTTGCTGGCATTTTTTTTTTTTTTAATGAAAATGCAATATAAATACTTAGACAGTAGTTCAACTTTCACCAGCAATAAGGGAGGAGACCAAACTCTTTTGCATATGTTATAGATGGAAATGCAGTGGATGTAGAATCTTATGTTGTTGTTGGCGGATCTCAGAGGAGACAGACAGGATAGTGAAAGAGGAACTGGGTTGGGAGCTGGGACTTGACTGTACCACTGCTAGCGGCCTGACACTGTGCGCCTCAGTCCCGTCATCCGTAAAATGGGGTTAACCCTGTCTACCTCACAGAGGCATGATGGAGAGTAAATAAGACAACAGGAGTCTAAATTTCTTTATAAACCGTGACCTATACAAGTATTTTTTACTTATTAATTCAACAGCCAGTTCTTGAGCACCTACTCCATGCAGGGTCCTGGGAAAGACATTAAAAATACACTGTGAAAGTCACAGTTCCTCCCTTAAGGAGCTTATATTCAGTCTAGGAAATGTTCAGGTGTCTAAGTCCTCTTCTAAATCACAATCTTTTGAGAAGGTGCGTCTTCTCTCTCCCTTTGTTCCTCAGGGTGCCTAAAATAGAGCTGAGCAAGCAGTGAGTTCTCTAAAACATGTTTTGACTCCATTATACATACATCTTGCTGCCTCTCAGAGACCTATTATTAGGGAAGCAGTGACCTCAACTTTTACTGGTTACCCAAATAGACCAAGCAAGTCACAAGGCTTTCGTACCAGGCTTAATAGAGTATTCTTTGTGTAGTCTGTGACATTGGTGTATCAAAAATTAGGATCATGAACCACATTCAGAATAACCTGTTTCTAGCATTTCAGAAGCTGTGATCCTATTCATTATTGCTAACTGTCCCCCCGCCCAACCCCCAGATCATCCTCTAACAGAGATGGATTACTTTAATTCAACTTCCCTCAATGTTCATTTCTGAATTCACTTCAAGTCATTGTTCCATTCTGGGTCAATCAGTCCTTCCCTCTGCCCAGGGCTAAGTACCCTCCTCCTGCCCCTTCTTTCTGGGAATGTCACTCATGCCTTTGTCTAATAATATCTTTGCACAGTAGCTAAATTTTATTATAAAAGTGAACCTTCTATAGAGGCAGCAAGAGCTTGGGCTCTGATTTTGAGCCATATTTTCCTACTTCTTTACATGTCTAATGATTTTTACTGGATGCTGGATTTTGTGAATTATGCATTGTTGGATGTCTGAACTTTGTCGTCTTCCATTAAAGAGAGTTGAGCTTCATACAGCAGGCACTTAAGTTTCTTTTGTTCATTTTGATCCATTTGAGATTTATTGTTAAACTTTGTTAGTCTAGAGTGGTTTAGCCCACTAAGGCGTGGCCCTTCTGGACTCTCGACTGAGTACCCTGAATGATCAATGAGAGAATTCAAAATCATGGAAATTCGAATGATTCTCAGTCTTGTGTAAGCCCTGAAAACTGTGCAGCTCACAGCTCCCTGGTCATTTTTTCATTCTCCTCAACCTATTATCTTTGTGATCAGGAACAAGTTATATAACCTCTCTGAGATTCAGTCTCTGCCTCTATTAAAAAAAGTATTAATGTGCATGTTTCTGTAAAGATTATATGTGTATAATGTACCTGACACAAAAGGAGCTAATTAAATGGCAGCTGCTGCTCTTACTAATATAAATACTACCTTCTTTACTCCATCATTTACTGAATATTTACTGTATACTAGGCAATACATAAGCTTGTTTAATCATTACAACATCTCTATGAAGTAGATGTTATTATCCACATTTACAGATCAGCAAATTAAAACTCAGAATGGTTACACAACTTGACTAAGGTCACAGTCAGTGGATCTGGGATTTAATTTCACTCCTATGACCTCTTTAGATGACTTTAATGTTAATATGATCAGTTGTACCAAGGAACAAGTTGTAGTCTCTTAACATGGGATAGCCAGGGACATGATTAAATTAATCAGCAATGGCGGGGCCTTAACGGTTCTAACCCAATGGCTTAAGAAATAAATATAAAGCACCCGCCCATTTTCTGCTTCCTTCCCTCTCTCCCATACACCATATAACTTACGCTAGTCTCAGCTTTCCCTGCCGTCCTTAGAAACCTTTCATTTTATCTTACAGATAATCTTCGGGAAGGGGCAGAGCAGAAGGTGGTATTCATCACTGGACGAGTTCACCCAGGGGAAACACCCTCTTCATTTGTGTGCCAAGGTGAGTTGCAGGATCTCATGGGCTTCCTGTGCTCATCCCCCACATCCAACTGGGGCACCGTGATGATCCTTGGGACACTGTGATAACATACAGAATCATTATCTTGGATGGGAATTCACTTTGCTTCTAAAGAGATTACACTTGATCTCCACTAGGATTTATCTTCAACAAATATTGACTACATATATGAATGGATGAATGAGTGGATGGTTGCACAAATGATAGGTAGGGCTATGTGATGTTCTCTCAAAAGTGCTATGTTCAGGATGAGCCAGACAGGGACATATATAGTCTCCAGCTTTGTTTTACTTGTTTCCAGTGGTTTACCAAAATAACAAATCTGGCCCCAGGCCAATGTGCATGTTAGTAGAAGGGCAGACAGTGAACTGAGGAAGTAAGGACTAGCAGTTATCCGTTCACTCATTTATTCAATTATTCACTTAACAAACCACTTCTGAAATACCTTCCATGACCAGGGAAGCATGCTTGATATCAGATAACTAGAGGTAAATGAGATATAATTTCTCTTCTCAAATATATCTCTTTATAATTGCATTTTATTTATTATTAAATATTTAATCTATATAAAATATATTTAGTCAGCAATATATAACGAATATATGCATGTCTATACGTATCGATTAGCAATATAAATATTCAGTAAATAATATATAAATAATAATTTAATGAATGTCCAATTTAAGAAGCAGAATACTGTCTATTCCTTTTAAATCCTTTGTTCTCATTTCTACCTTCGCTCTCACACAAATAACCATCAGCTTGAATTTTGTATTTGTCTGTTTAACAGATTCCTATACATGTAGGCATTCCTAAACAATGTATTTTTTTGTTTGTTTTGCATGGTTTTGAACTTTAAAAAATGGTATCATTCTGTATGCATTAATGCTGGTTTTCACCCAATATCCATGTTGGTGAATATAGCTGTAGTTTTCATTATGTATTCTACTCCATGTCTGTCTGTACCTCACCTTACCTATCAGTTTTTCTGAAGATAGACAGTTAAGTTGTTTACAGTGTTTTTTCTCACAAACAATGCTGATACAAATGTTCTTATACATGTCACTTCGTGCACATATGCAAATACTTGTCTAGGGTATATAACCATGGACTATAATTGCTGGATCATAAGATATGTGCTTCTTCACTTTTCCAGATCTTTTTTCACTGCCACAGGCAATGTATAAGAGTTCCTGCTGTCTCATATTCTTGCCAATACTTTTTCATATTTACCTATCTTGTGGGTGTATTATATATAAAATATAGTACCATATATTTTAAGCACTTTACGTATTTTATTTATTTATTTTTACTAATTTGATTTATTTTAATTCTATGTCATGGGAACTAATATTAACTATATTTTTACATATGAGAAAACTGAAGTTTGGTGACGTTAGGTAATGGAAAAAAAAAAAAAAACCCTAGAGGTTATACAACTTGAGGGAGGTAGCATGCTGCCATGGAAGTATCTGGTGATTTGTCATCAGACATTCTTGGGGTCAAATATTGGCTCTGCTGCTTCCTAGCAGTGTGACTTCAGTTTCCTCAAGTGTGAAATAAATTAGGATAACAATACCCGTCTGAAGGCTGTGATGAAGCTGGCATGAGATGAATGTAAACAAACACCCAGTCCTGTTCCTGGCACACAGCAGGCACTCAACAGATGTCCCCTCCTGCCTCATGGGAATCCGAGAAGATGAAGCAGGTAATCTGCTTTGCAAACTATAAGGCACTATGCAGATAAATATGAGGTTTATTTTCCCGTTCATATTTTTCCAGTGCTGTGACAGGCACGACTGCCTCCCGCTGCGTTTCAGGCATGGAGACATTTTCAGGGAGAGAAAGTGATTGCCCAGAGCCAAGCAGCTCAGAAGAGGCACAGCCAGGGTGTCCCAACTCCGCGCTCTAGTCACCTTAGCTTACTCCTTGCCATTCTCACTTCCAGCCTCTTTCCATCCCAGCACTGTCCTTGCAGTAACCTTTCCCAGGTCCCTCCTGGTTTTACCAACCCCTTTACTTGCAGCCATCTGTCAGTTACTAAACTTGGCAGCAGACCTGTTCCCCCAGCTGATCAGAGGCAACTATTTTGTCCTTGTTTGTAGAAAGGCAGTAGCCTTACCATCAATATGTTCCCCTCTGGGAGCTCAAATTCCCTTGCCCACCTCCTCGGTGGTGGTCCACAGACAGAGGGCAGGGCCATCATCCCCTTTTATAGAGGCGCCCTGAGGCATGGAGGACTTTATGAATAGAGCTCAGGGGCTCTCTCTGTTGGCCCTGCTTTTCCAAAAAGGAATCTGGATGGTGCTGGGCTGATAGTCAGTGCTGTCTTGGAGGTTTTCAATCAATGTTTACTCCTTGGCAGAGCCTTTTAATGCCTTCCCACTACCTTCTCGAGATAAACTCCAAACTCCTTGGCATGACATTCATAACCCTCCATGATCTGGCTCTTGATCGGGTTCTCTGGCCTCAGCCTAATTGTATCCCAGCCCCACACAACTTAATCCCTGAATGGACAACCTTCTCTCCACCACTGGGCCTTTGCACCTGCTGCTCCTCTGCCTGTGGCTCCTTGCCACTTGGCAAACACCTCTCATCTCCTAAGGCTCATTTCAGGTGCCCTCTGTGGCCCACTCTCTCCAGTCCTCTGCTTGTGCCTGTATTGTTGGTTACCTGATGGTCATCTTCATTACCATGATTTGTTTTACATTTGAGTTATATTTTTTTCTTCCCACTTAAACCGTGAGCTATTTCAGGCCTAGGGTTGGGTCTTCCAGTGTCATTTCCTACATCTGAAAAACAGAGATTATCTTGTTCATTTCATGGGGCTGTTGTGGGGACACATGCTGTGTTGGCTCTGGGATGCTAAATCCTAGTTCAGAAAGAGGATCCTCAAGGTCACACAGCAGGTAAATAGCAGAAGAGGGCTTTGAATCTAGGCCTCCCAAACCTGTACATGCTTTTTTGCCGCACTCAGGGATGGGAAATGCTAGAAGGTCAGGCTTCTGGCCTGGAAAAACAGCACCTCTGCCCACCCCACAACCAATGTGCGTTTTACAGGCTCAGAGAAGTAAAGTGGCCTACCCACGGTCACACAGCTAACTCATAACAGATATGGCCTGGGACCCATCTCCCCAATCCTGCCTTCCTCTTTCTCTATCTCTAACTGTCCCTTGAGACACACGATTCCTCCTTTCTTGAGGCAGCTTAAGTCAGGCATCATTCCCCCACTTTGCCAAAGAGAGACTGAGGCACAGTCTCTTCCAGGGGTCTCTCAGCCCCCTGAAGACAGCCAGGACCACAGCCCTACAGGGCTCAGCTGGGCTAAGCTCTCAAATGGATCGCCTCCTCTGCCCACCTTGCTGTGGGGGTGGCAGGAAGGCCCAAGCAAGGCCTGAGAGGGTGGCTGAGATACCTGTGGTTCTGTTAACTTCTTCCTCGTTAACTGGCTCAGTGACCTTGAGCGGGAACAGACATGTGAAGCCTGGTCGTCCCCATCTGGCTGGGACCAAGTTTCTCTCCACAGAGCTGCCGACACACCTGCTGGTGGGAGTACAGTGATGACGTCATCCCAGAGCTCCAGAAGCAGGTGTCATTACGGGAGGCAGAGCTTTGATTTCCTCAAGGCTCTGCTTGCGGTGGGACAGCCAAGCCTCGGCCACCACTCTGCTGCCCCCAACCCCTTTCTGGCCTCTATGAGGCTAAACTACCCTTGCTGGCCAGCTACGACAGGGGGCTCGGTGTCGCCCTATAGCAGTGTGTGTGTGGCACGGTCTCTGGAGCTACAGCGCCTGGGGTTGGATCCTGGCTCCTCCACTTAGCACATTATGACCTTGGGGAGGTCGCATAACCTCCCTGTGACTCCGTTCTTTTTTCTTGAAAGGGAACTGTAACAGGGATCCTGCCTCATAGGACCGTTGTCAAGATTGAATGAGTTAAGATTCATAAAGTATTTAGGACGGGATCTGGGGTAGAGTAAGCACTAAATACCTGTTATTAGTAGGGAAGGGAGGTAGCACTAAATGAGTACTTTGCAGGTGTCAGGTATGGTTCCTCTAATCTTTGCGGCGAACCCAAAGCCTAGTGTGTGACTTCTACGCTGTGTGCCTCCCCCACTTCCTCGCCCGCTTCCTGAGAGAGCCGTTAGCTGAGCCCTCCTCATCTACATGCCGGGAAGGTCAAGCTGAACGTCCGTAGCTTGGCCGGGACTAGACCTGGGTCTTCCTCCTGGCCCAGTGATTGCTCTTGCATTAAAGCTGACTTCGTAATTAAGATCCTTCATAACTGAATTAATTATAAACCTACATTTATGGAATGATACTGTGGGCAAGGCACATCCCCTCTGGAGGGCGGCATGGGGAGTGGACGTATCAGAGGCTTTGGACTCAGGCAGGCCTGAGTTTGGATCCTGCCCCTTCCGCCTCCTAGCTGGGGAACCTTCCTCAAGTCCTCAGTTCTCAGAGCCTCTGTTTCTTCACCTGCAAAATGGGACAGCAGTATGGTCCTCCAGGAGGGTTACATGAGATCACGTATGTCGGTGCTCACTGCAGCCTCAGGCACATGTGGGTACCAGCCATGCCCACTCTCCCCTCTTCTCGCTCTTCCACAGTAGTCCTACCGGGTCACTGGGCAGCTCTCAGCTCTACTCTTCAGAAAAGCCGAGGGACTCCCTGAACATCACCTGGAAAGTTAGTGGTGGTGTGAGGACTGGGCCCACGTCTCCTGCCCCCCAGCCTAAGCCCTGCTGTTATGTGTGCGGCCCTCCCTCGGGGAGCTCACCTTCAGATTATCCTGTGGGGGAAGAGGAGGAGAGAGGGGAACACACACGCATGCACGCACACACGCACGCACACACGCACGCACACATACACGCGCGCACACACACCCCACCCACTCACAGCCACCAAGACCAGCACAGCCTAATATTTTCTCTCAGTAAAGTGGTGACCTTTGCCCCTTCCTTCCTCCCCTCCCCTGCTCTGCTTTCTTCTCAACTCAGGCCCTCAGCTCTTCTCCCTCTTGTCTCTCTCTAGCCCAAATAGCCTCACATAAGCACAACGCTAGGTCCACTAAGGGGTTCTCATGGGGTCTTTCTCTTCCCTAAGCCTCTGTCTTCTCATCTGTGAAATGGGCAGAATTGGGGGTGGGAAGAAGTTACGCTCTATGAACTCAGGCCATTCAGTGCCAGACTCCCTACGATTCAGAAATTTGGGTCCGTCGGGCTCAGCTGAGGGAAGATGGGCCTGGTGCCAGGTCAGCAGAGGACCTGTCATGGGGACCCCCCACTTTGGACCCAACAGAGACCCCTGACTGTCTTACTTCAAGCCTGGGCTCTTCCCATGGCAGTACCCTGCCACTTAGCAGAGACGAGCAACAATAAACCCTACACAGAACACTCTAGAGAGAACATCATGCAGACATACATGCAGATCACTCTGCAAATCACGGATAGATGGTGACACACGTGACAAGAGTTTTTGTCCACTACCCCCAAGAGCATCAGAACTCTTCACTGAAATTATGCGGTTTGGGGGAAAGGGGACCCCAAAAAGACAGATTAAGTTTCCAGCCCCTGGCAGATTGGGGCCTAATGGAGGAAACTGAGTTCAGTTATAGGAAAATAAGGAAAATTACCTTTCCTAGAGTTTGGGAGATCGAGGCTCGGATCTGCTGTTCAGGTCTGTCTTGCCTCTAGGCTGTGAGCCCCAGGGGGCAGGGACAGGTTTACCTCTTTGCCACTATTTTTTCAGTGCCTGGCTCAGTGCCAGAACAAGAAAAGTCCGCAATAGATATGAGTGACACGAATGACGAAAGATGGACCAGTGATGGGCACTGCATGTTCATTAGCTGGATTGACCTGTAGTTCCATTGGCTCCATTTTACAGATAGGGAAGCTAGGTCAGTGTGCTGACATCACTTGCTGAGTGTCTCTCAGGGACCTGGACAGGATTCATACCCGTTCTACTGGCTTCAAGTGTTGCTCTTTCCAGTAAGGCAAGAAGGGAAGAGCCAGGAGTTGCTGCTTCCCTTCCACCAGCTGCATCTTCGTGACTCTCTGGGCCCCGGTCACCAGAGAGCCCCTGCAGGTCACCACCACGTTGTACCCTGGTTCCTGACTGCAGCCTCTTTCTGTTTGCTGGCTCTCTGCCCTGTCTGCCCCGCTACCTTCACCCCTTTGCCTCCAGAACATCTCACCCTCCATTACTACTTACTGCAGCCTGCATTCCATGCTGCAGCCAGGGGGCGCTCCAGAATGCAGCTCTGGCCCTGTGCTTTGCAATGGCTCCTGTGTGTGCCCTTCGTATTCTTCAGCTGGACCAGCAAGTCCGTGTTTCCCTCTCCCGCTTCTCTCTCAGCGTCCTCCCAACACCACACTTTCAGCCAAACCAAGTAACAGCAATGATTAAAACCACACACGTATGCACTTCCTGTGTGCCAGACACTTTGCCTATATTGACTCACAGAGATCCTCACAGTAAGCCACAGGTAATTCTTCTTCTTTCCTCCTGAACCGAGGAGGAAACTGGAACTGAGCGGGTGAGGCCACACAGGTAGTCGAATCCAGATAGTCCAGTTTCAGCATCTTTGCCTTGAGACACGAAGCTCTCCCCGTGGAACTGAAGAGCCCTCTGTTAGCGAGCAAGCCATCTTCTTCCTCCCCTCCCAGCCTCTGTGCGGGAATTCCCGAGCTCCCGCTGACCTCTCACTTGCAATTTTCACCACAGCCTTCGCTAGTCTGTACAGTGGGATTGGCTTCCCTACCCGCACCCCTCTAAGGCAGGACCGCCCCTTCGTCGTGGAATGCCAAGCTTACGATGTGGACCTCGCTGTGAATGTTTGTGGAATGAGCGATAATCAGTTCAGCTAACCCTATACTTTGCCAAAGTCAGATGAATTCCTGGGGCCAATCTACCAGTGGGCATTTATTAGGCACCCGCGGTGTGCGCCTCCCTGAACCAAGTACACTGGGAGAAATAACAACAATATTCAGCTGTGGTTGGCCAGGCGACATCTGGCGGGGCCAGGCCAAAGCTGGCCCAGGGCAGTGACCTCTGCTGCCCAGCTTCCCTGTTCATCCTCGTCCTCCAGACTCCAGCCTCCAGTCTTCCGTCATCCTGCTTCCTCCCACCTTCCTGATTAAATTAGCTGGAAGGACCGGACCCTGCACACTTGTTTAAGAAGGGGCAGAGACCGATCTTAAAGGGTGGATTGTGCCTCCCTGCAGGAGGGAGATTATTCTCCTCACTGTCAGGGGGTATTCTTCTACTTTGGGAGAGAGAAATAAAATAGATGAAACCAGAGACTGTCAGTATGGGGTGCATCCTGGAGAACGATTGAGTTCTTTCTCTTAATTTTAAAGATGAGAGTAGGCCCACAGGCTTTCTAAAGGTCATCCAGTAACTGAGCCAAAACTGGAAGCGAGGTTCTCTGACTGCTGGCTCGTTGGCTTCTCCAGTTCAGTATCCTCATTCGCAAATTCCATAGTTAGTAAACTTCGCAGACCAGGACACTTACTTCCAAAAGCCATTCTGTTTTCCACTACCTGCATTGTCTTTCAATCTTCGATCTAAGCGAGTTAATGAAAGCACATTACAATTTTCGGGTGCTGTGCTAGGCAGTTAAAATACAGGAGTTCTAACCTAGTCACACAGCAATCTTCTAGATTAGGTACTATTATCCCTACATCAAGATGAGAAAACCAGTCAGAGAAAGCTGGTAACCTCTGTAGCTAATAACCAGTTCCGATTCAAATACAGGTCCCTAAGGCCACGTTCTTTCTGCTGCCTCGGTCCTTGCAAGGCTTTCGGCCCGTGGCCAGGGATGGCATTTCCTCTCCACTCTTACTTCCTCCAGCTTTCTCCTCAGACTCCTCTCTACTTCCATCCTCCACACCAAAAACAAAGCGAAAGATCTGCTCCCAATGTTCTGATCAATGGGAATGATTCCTGTTGAACTGCATCTGACCTCAAGCCAAGAGCTGAGTCTAAAACCTCTCCCGTCCTTGCCCCACCCTCAGTCTGAGAGCTGGAGCTCTGGGTGGCTGCAGCCTCCAGTCTGGCTTTGTTTTCTCTCATCCTTTTATTAGCTGCCTAATTGGCAGCCCAATTAATCTGTTCATCTGTGAAGGAGGATGGATCACAATGAGCTACTCCATTTCTAGAAGCCACTCTCTGAGGCAGCGTGGCCAGGCCCTGGGCGCAGGCTGGCTCCTTGATGAAGGGCCGCCGGGGAGCCGGGGTCAATTAGTGGACAGATTAAGCAATTATTACCCCCTAACAAGGGCGCCTGGCATCATTACCCTGCCTGTTTACTGGCAAACTGCAGCTTTAATATGAAGACCAACAAATAAATTAGGGCATCTGGTCTACTGCCGCATCGGCCGAGAAGTAAATGATGTCCAACTGGCATTCAGCTGCCCATGAATGCTCAGCCTTGGCCTAATGAAAAGCCTGAGATATCCTTCACTGGTCACGGATGCTCTGGAATGTGCTCTGGAGCAGTTTATGATTCCAAGAGCTAAGTGCCTGCTGCTGGGCATGTGGGTTGTTGTTAGTTACCCTACTGCCTTCCTCCTGTCTGTCTGTCAAAACCTACTTATCTTTCAGGGCCCAGCTCAAAGCTTCTTTTTCCTTGAGGCCTTTCCTGCTCTCAGGAAAGTGTCTGTCTGTCAAAACCTACTTATCTTTCAGGGCCAGCTCAAAGCTTCTTTCTCCTTGAGGCCTTTCCTGCTCTCTCCAGCAGGAAAGGCATTCCCCCGTCTGCATTTTGGGAGGGTTTTGTACTCTCCTATTACTTCCTAGCATTACAGTCATTTGGTAGAACCCCAGAGCTCCATTTTGCCCATGAAGGTTCCCAACGAAGAAGTAGAAATGTGGAGAAGAGCGGGGGGGAAAGGGCAGGGCTCCTAGCTGTTTGTTTCCTCCTACTCTGCTGTAGATATGTGCAGGCCGTCACCAGAAAGATACTATGGAGGTGGGTGTCAGGGTCAGATTTGCACTTTTGGAAGATTCCTCTGACCGTGGTGATGAAGGCACGTTCCAAAGGTGTTTGCTGTCACCCAGACTAGATGCGATGGTGGCCTAGAGTAGAAAAAAGGCAGAGGGATGGAGATGAGGGACAGATTTGCTAGATTCAAAGAAGAGACTTGGGCACTGCCGGACTGTGGGAGGAGAGTCATGAGGAATTCAACTTTCCTAAACCTGGCGACTTGGACGCAAGGAGGTGTTGGTGCCAGTGGAAAGCAGAAGGAGTCTGGGACTGTTGAGCAGAGAACTGTCAACGTGGGGACAAGAGCAGAGCTGGGGAACACTGAAGAAACTTCTCTCCTCTCATGTGACTTTATCCAAGTTCCTTCTCCTCTCTGCTTCCTGATGTGGCCATCAGCAACATGAGAGTTTAGATCCCGAAGGTCTCTGACTCCACAGCCATCAGTCCAATGTCAAGATTTAGCTAACTGTGTCCATTAGAGAGCAGCTCTTAATTTATTGTTCGGCTTGTTCTGCCTCTCCCCCATCTGTCTGTCAAAACATCGTGGGCCCTCAAAGGCGCAGGTCAAACGTTATCTTCTCTCGGAAGCTGACTGTGCTCTCCACGGGAAATGCTCTCTCCCTCCTGCCCATGGGCTTCAATATTATGTCTTGAACTATTTTTTGGAAACAGAAGCATATTTATAAAACTCACTGGGTAGCACGTACTCTATAGCCACATATCCACAGTGACTAACAACATACACCCCAAATCACTTGTTGAGCTCTCATCATTTTCCAAGCTGAGGAAGATGGGCCCCTTCCCTCTTGACACACTTTAACCCAGATCTAGGGATCATTGACTTCCTCATAAGCCAGCACCCGATTGCCCGTGCCCTACGGGAACACCTGGTCTTCAAGATCGCTCCAATGCTCAACCCTGATGGAGTCTACCTGGGCAATTACAGGTGAGAGATGAGTGAGGATGCTTGAAAGCTGGTAGTCATAAGATGGTGGATAGAAACAAGAAGAAAAAAGGGATATATTTTTGAGGAAAAACATTCAGACTACCCATGAGTTCATTATAGGAAGTTTCACCCTGACTGTTAAGACTGGCTAATGAGCCTTGGCTGTGTCATGCGCAGCCATCTGAGATCACTTGCTGAGGTTTTCTGGGCAGCTTGCTGGACCAGGAATCAGGAGGCCTAATATCAGTTTAGGCACCTGTTTCCTGTGTAACCTTGGGGAATTCACTTTCCCTCTGATGCTCAGTTTCTCTTGCATAGTGGAGACAGTAATTACTTACCTGACAGGGCACTTGTAAGCATCAAAAGAGATGGTGGGATGAATATGCTTTGCAGAATATCCCATGGCTGTTATAATGATTACTGTTTCATCCCTGTGTTTCTTCTTGGAGATCGTTAATGATGGAGAGTATCATCCCAGATCATCTGAATGGCATTTCTTTTTGGTTTGGGCATGCCAGATAGCCCCATACTCATTCCTGCACTCATGTCTTGAATTCTGTTTCTCCTAGCTGCACTATTATGTACAACCTAAAGTCCCACTGCTCAGGGGATCATCAGCCGAAAGAACATTGAATCCTCTCAGATGGCATTATTACTCGTATTAAACACTCAAGGCAACCGACTTGCCCAAAGTCATACAGCCGGTGATTTACCGTCTAACTTTACTGCCCAAATTATACAGATTTATTACTGATTAGTCCCACAGCTCCCGAGAAAGCATTCGAACTCCTCAGCTTTGCATGCAAGGCTCTGTATGACCCGGTGCCTGTCTGTCCACCATGCCGCCTCGCCTCCCACCCTCCTGTTTCACCTCCCACCTTCCATTCTTAGTGGCTCTAGCCACACTAAGCAAAGCCTAGTTCCCAAGACATGTCCTGTTCGTCTCTGATCCCTTACCTTTAGAAAGGCTGCCCTCTGCCCAGACTCTCCTCATCCCTTCTTCATCTCACTCACCCCTCTTCACAACTCAGCTCGCGCTCCTCCTTCTGAAAAACATCCCCCAAACATCCAAACAGAATTGGTCGCTGCCTTCCCTGAGCTCACACCAGCCTGGTTATCAAACAAGTTTTATCCATTACACAGACCCCACTGGCCCTCACTCAGGCCACCACAGGGCTGGGACTGAGCCTTGACAATCTTAGTATATGCCCCAGTGCCTAGCAGCAGGGATCAGCACACAGTAGGTGCTCAAAAAGTATTTGATGAATACTAGTGAAGAAAAGCTATGACTTTACTGATGAGGAAACTGAGGCCCAGAGATGAGATGGGACTTGCCCAAGATCAGTGGCAGAGATCAGTCCAGAACCCAGACTGTCTTATACCCAGCCAGGTTCATTTTAAACAGGCTTGGTTTACTGTTTTCCAAGAGCATGGCAACTGGGTCCAGAGGGGCTTCCTAGTCCCCCTGGGTATGAGTTAGAGAGAGCCCCTGGGATGCATGATGCCTTAATTAAAGACAGTTTTGCTTCCTCTCTTAATTGGCACAAGTGATGGTTCATTAGTGCTGGCAGGCTTTACGGCTTGCTGCAGGCCTGAGAGTAATGCCTTCTCACCTTCCCCAGACAGATGCACTGTTAGTGATAATGGTGGTAGAAAAGCCATTTGATTTATGTTAACATTTCTGTTTAATTACAAGAGCAGCAGTGGCCAGAGACAGGTCAATACCGTCCACTTCACACACACATTTATGTCATCATCCACTGTCCAGGGATGATGAGTTGGGAAGAAGTCTGTGACCTTGGCCAAAATCTCTCCCCTCTCTCTGGGTTTCAGATGGTCAGTTGGGTAGTCATGGGGAAGTAGATGCTTTTTTTTTTTTTTTTTTTTTATCTCTTTAAGCTCCAGATTTTGTGATTTGGGATTTCAGGATAAAAGAGCTCTAACCCTCAGAAACAGTTCTGTACTGAAGTTTAAGCCCCCAACGTTCTCCTAGCAAGAATGTGATTCTCATTATGAGAGTGGGAGAAAACCTCTAACCACAGGCATTAATCCTGTTGCTAAAACAGCTCTAGGTAGCTACAAAGAGCCTATCAATCATGAGAACTCACTACTAAAGATTTGGAGAATGTGGAAAATAATAATAAAGACTCAGAATTGAGAGCTTCAAGGTGCCTTAGAGGTCCTCTATGCCAGCCCCTCCCTGAGCCACCCTACTGCCTACAGCAGTTATTTCCCATGGCTTGATGGGACTTGCTAAGTCTTAACAGCAGGGAGGTGGGGGGAAGAATTTGGAGTTTGAACGGATTTGGGAAACACAGAGCTAAGCAGAGTTAAACATGTTCTTTTACAATAAGGTTTTTTAGTTTTCGTTATGCTAATAAGCAAGGATCTCAAGAGGGGAAGATAGCATTCTGTGTTTCCCAAAGTTAAGTGTCAAGGAACACTTTTCCTATAGAGCTTGTCTTTCTCCTCCGTACCCCTCCCCGCCCCGCCCCCAGTGGTGTTAGGGTTATAAAACATTGTGGAAAATGCCACCGAGAATTCTGCATCAAGAACTCACACATTTATCTCATTTAATCTTCATATCCACTCTGAGAAGGACCGTCTTTGTTAAGGTTCCTCTGCTTGCAAATAATAAAAATCTCAAATTAGCTTAAGTACAGGAGGAAAGGTGGGAGGGAGAAAGGGAGGGTGAGAGAGAAGGAAGAAGGAAGCAAGGAAGGAAGGGACGAAAGAAGGAGGAGGGAGGGAGGGAGGAAGGGAGGGGCAGACTTATAAACAGAGCCAGACCTCACAGGAACTGGTCACATCGTGGGAGACAGGTTTGAACACAGACACCAGACACGGTGCCCTGGCTGCCTCTCTCTCATGCTCTCCGACTTTCACTCTCTCAATATCCCCTTAGGATGTGCAGTCTCGTAACCCTCAGTGAAGTGAAGTAATCTGCCTTAGGTCCTGTGGCCTGTGAGGAACAGGCAAGGGTGCAGGTCTGTCTGAGCCAGAGCTGGTGAACCTCCCTGCTGCCTCACACTCCCACTGTAGCCCGCAGCAGACATGCCAGACCCTGTGTGGAAAGCGAGTCAGGCCTGCTCTCAAAGCACTTCCCTTGTCCTCCCCCTCCCCCTCCCCATCTTCCTTCACCTACTTCTCTGTCTTCTACATTGAAGAAACATGGAATTGTCTCCTGGGAAGGACAATCAGGAGAACTGATCACTCAAAGCTTATATTTAATAACACACGTATCTATGCTCTAGCATTTTATGGTATTTATAGAAAACTAGACAAGGTACACTCTAGCATTTAACTGCAAAGGGTGGCAGCTATACCATGATAGATGACACTCTTTATGTTAAGGGGCAGCAGCATTTACTAACTAGGCTGTTGTGTATTCTACTAGACCGTGGCTTACGGGAAGGGTATGGAGGGCCCATACTGAAGTTTATAACAACCAAATTACACTCTACAGTAGCCACCTGTAATAGTTAGAAGATATAACAGTATATAACAATGATATTATGGCATACAATAAAGACGCAGGGCAACTGTACACTCTGTGTCCCTTACTACACTTCAATTACACTGGCTTTTTTCTTTTTCAGAGCCTCTGATATGAAGTAGGTCTCCCATTATGCTGTATTCTGTTTTGTCCTTTCATGCCAGCCCCCAATCCTGTGTTTGTGACTATTTATTTAATGGCCGTCTCCTTCTGTAGATGGTAAACCCCATAAAGTCAGGACTTCGTCTACCTGCATCCCCAAAGCCAAGTGTGATGCCTGGCACGGACTGGGCCTTCGATGTATAGTATCTGACTGAATAAATAAACTTTAACAGCCGTGTTTAGTAATTGTGCCCTGGCACAAGCTACAACTCCCAGTGTAGAGCAGCTATCATTTAGGGTCGTCAAAATCACAGAGACAGAAAGTAGAATCCTGGCTGCCACAGGCTGGAGGGAGAAGGAACGAAGAATTAATTGTTCAGTGGGTATAGAGTTTCGGTTTTATAAGATGAAAAGCATTTTGAATTCGGGTGGTGGTGATGGTAGCGTGACATTAAGAATGTCCTTAATACCACTGAACTGCACACTTAAAAATGATTCAGATGGTAAATTTTATGTTATGTGTATTTTACCACAATAAAATAAATAAGAATGGCGTGACTACTGAGGCAATGTGAGCATCTTCGTAGAGTCTCAGAGGTGGATCTGGGGCCTAGAGGTCTTGAGGGATGAATACTGTCACTTCAGGTATCGCAGACCCAAGAAGCTGCAGGAGACTCCTAGATGGGAGGCCACTGGGTTGGGGGGTGATTGTCATCAGTTGGCAATCCTCAATGTCCGGCAGTAGGTGCGGCCACCCATATGCACTGCAGCATTTGCTTGCTCTGCCACCTCCTCCTCCCCCATCACCTTCTTTGCAGAGAATACAGCCCCCACCCCCACCTGTGTACCCCACCGTGTTTTCTTCTGAGCATGTGTAATGCACGAGTTGCCTTGCATTTGAAAAACAGACTCTCCATCTCCATATGACAATATGAAACTCTGTGTTGGGTTTGCATTTCTTAATTAGGTGCTTGTCATTGTGTATTCCATAGAGCCACGTATAAGTAAACAGTCATAGACCTTTGAATAAATTTATTGGTTTTATTTATGTTTCTGGGCATAAAAATCTATAATTACCAGGTACAGCCTCAGTATAACTGGTATTTAATGACAATTACTTTTTGTTACCATAGAAATGAGTCCAAAGTAGTTACCCATAATTTCTCATTTCCCAAACCTCACACATGCTGAATTGCAATATTACCATAGTAATTGCCTATTAGTCATCATAAAATACGCAGTTACCCAAAAGATAGCAAGATGCTGTGAAATTTCTCATCTTCAGAAAGCCTCAGTGTTTCTTGGGAATGTGGAGGCGGGGGAGAGGAGCAGGCCTCCATGGGTGGTGCAGAAATGATTCAGCTTTGTAGCAGGGCACTGCAGATACCGCGGTGGAAACGGA